GATCAAAATACAAAGTCCAATATTGTCTAAAATACTCCAAATCATGCTAGGATCCATCACACTTTATACTCCATGCTCGGGTCAAACATTAAGTCCACAATCCATTTATATTCCATAATTCTATTTAGGTCTTTTCCGTTTTATCATGTTTTTTGTGTTTTTTATAAGATAAAGAATAAGAATCAAAGAAGACGAAAAATAACATAAAGTAAATGCATGAATGATAAATGAACAATAAAGTAAATTGCGAAAAGTAAATGACGAGAAGTAAATTTCAAGAAAATAAAGTACAAGAAAGTAAAGTTAATTGTTAGAAGTTTGTTGTTAGTGGGTAAAGATCGAATGATCAATTTCTCAGGTCAGGAAAAATTTAGCGTTATGTTAAGCAATCGTAAGTAGACTTATGTAGAAATCATACCTATCGAGGTCGGTCAAAAACAATTTATGTGCTAAGCATGTTAGGGAAATGATATAGACTCATTCTCTTAAAATATGTGGCACAAGAAGAAAAAGATGAAGCAAAGAAGAATGGTCGCATCTTTAATCAAAAGTTTCAATGATCAACCAAGGGCAACCTATCAATATCTCAAAGTTTCAAGAATGATCTAAGTATCATTCATCAACATATTTGAAATATTGAAGATTCAAACATCCTTGAAATCGTCACTCCATGGTTTCTAGATTTTCATCAACAATTGATAAAAATAAAATCATAAGGTAAACAAAATATTGAATAAAATGAATTGAAATACTTGTAAGAATAAAAATAAAATAAAAGTTCTTAATAAAAAAAGAAAATAGTAAAAAAAACAAAATAAAGAAAATAAGAGAAAAAAAAAAAAAGATAAGAAAAAAATGAGAGGGAGGTGCGCATGATGTAGGGAGTGCAAGGATGAAATTGGAATGGGCTGCCGTGTTACTAGGCCCACACGAAGGCAATGGTACAAAGAAAAATATGCAGTGTCAAGCTAAGACCAAATCACACGCTTCTTCTCTTCTCCCTCACAATTGCATTTCCAGCCCTGCTTCCTCTCCGCCACGCTGGAGCTCACCTCCAACGACGGTGAAGATCAATCCCACAAACTCCTTACCTCATTTCAATCTCCTGTTTCTCCTTGTTCTGAATCTCTCAATAATCTCTCTCAATTCCTTGCTGGAGATGCAAACTGAAACAACAAACAAAGCAGATCCTAAGAAAATTCAGGTATAAAGCATTTTTGTTCTTACTCTTCTTTTGCGTGTGTTAATTTGTTGTTGAAGTTCTTGTTAATTGTTGTTAAATTTGTGTTGCAAGATGTTGTGAATTTGAAGTGGTGTTGTTGAACTATTGTGTTTAATTTGTGATGGTGAATTATTGTTGTTTTGGAATTTGTAGTTGTGTTGAACATGGACTAGCTGTGGTTTGCTCGCGTGGATATTGAAACTGGGAGTGAAATGGTGATGAAGGTTTGAAGAGAATTTTCAAATTGTGTAAAGAAGTTTGAAGATGAATTTAGAAGGAGGACTTGGTCAAAAGTTGGCAAGAATTTCTTGGTTGTGAAAGCTTTATTGAGAGTGAATTGGATGACTCAATTTATAGAGAATTGAAGGGTGATTTTGGTCTTTTGAATTTAAAGATTTGGATGAAAATTTGGAATGAACTTGCAGCACCTACGTTTTGCTTGTGAAGACATTGTGTTTTGGCTTGATTTTGGCCGTGTAGCCCATGAGCTTGTTTTCTCTTTGTTTGTTTTTCATTTTGTGATGTAATGGGCCATTTGTATGATTTGAATTCGGACTTTAGATGCAATATTCATTTTCTCAATTTTATATTGAAATATGCTTGAATAATGTAATTGGAATTGGACTTTGATTCAATTATTTACACCTTCATGTGAAACTTGTTTTTGTATTGGACTTTGAATTGTGTTTGGGCTTTAAATGTACTATTTACACCCATATAATTTATTTGAAATGTGCTTGTTTTGGATAATTCATAATTGTCTGGATGATGTAACCATGACTTGTAAAACTTGATTAGAAAGAAACCATGAGGATTGAAACGTGAACTTTCATGCTGATGTCATATTCACATTTAAAACCAATTTTCATCATCTTTGAATCTTTACTTGAAATTAAATAAAACGCTTGATTCCATGTTGAACAATCCTAATCATTCTTGCAAGAAGGATTTGGACATCACTTGATCAAATGAAAACCCAACATGAATCAAAATGTGCACTTGAAACCTTTTTGATAATGTCATGACCAAAATAATCATACCTTGAGGAATGAATCCAAAAATGAATCGATCTTGAACACATATCCACTTGAATCATGATGAACTACAATCCTCATTTTGAATCTTCTTGACAATATTATGGACCACATGAACATGCATTGAAATTAAAGAATCGTGACTTGAAATACAAGCCCCAATGCACTATACTTGAATCTGCATAAAACCCTAATTGGAAATAAACGGGTCCTTGATGATCCTCAAACATAAAGCCATTGAATTTATCACAACCTTTCCCTCAAAACAATCCATGACTAAGATAACTTAAGAATGACGCAATCCCATTTGTTTTGGTCAAGATTAGGTCAAACTTTACTTGAATCTCAACCATTACTGAACGTCCACACACACACATGACTTGATAACCTTGAACGGGCCTTGATTCAACCTTGCAAGACCCGAGCTTAGAGAGCAAGAAAAATGAAAGCAAAAGGCACATATTTTTGGATTTTTGAATAAGGGTTAGTAAACATAAACAACCATAAAATCAAAAAAGAAACACAAATGAGTGCTTAGTGGTCTCCTGCACAACACAATCCTAAAGAAGTGATGGATAGGAGAACACATGCTTGTGATTGTGATGGAATGCAAATGATATGATAGATGAAATATTAGGGGTAAAAGTTAGGGTTTTGTGGGTCTAGGTAAAAATTGGTGATTATTAGAAGCTAGGGTTTTGTGGAAACATATAATAGATGTGATAAGTCATGATAGATTGCTATAATTGTTGTGTTTCTATATGATGAAATGTTGTTGTTGTTGTTAGAATGATGAATTTTGTGTGAATCCTTGTGCTCATACATGATCTTCTTGTTGTTTTTCATGCCTATCTATATTAAACCATGTCAATTTGGGTTATTGAGTGTAGTAAGATCATATGTGTTAATATGTTTGTCCATTTTTATCATCCAATCATGTTTCTGCACTTTTTGGGTCCTGTCAACTTTATCGGGCGAGCCCCAGGCGAGTTGGTCTTTCTGGGTCTTCTCCAAGCGAGCAAAGGGAATTTTTCCACTGTCTTCTCTCGCTAGAGCTTGCCCTTAGCTTGCCGGACGAGCATGACAACATACAGAAAAAATGTTTGCTTCTTGTTTTCACCATAACTCGAGAAATATGAATCAGATTAATATGAGACTTAAAGCGTTGGAAAGCCCTTTCAATGCTCTATAATATAGTAAAGTAGGAACATGGATATATGTCGGACATGGATAAGATAGTGATGATATAATATCATGTATGTTATATGGGTGAGAAGAAATCATGTTCATGCCATGATTCTTGATTGAGGTATTAGTCATGAATTGGTTAAGCATGTTTATGAACCACATTATGACATATGTTATGAATTGTGGTTGTATTAGTTGTTCATATTTTCTGTCTATGATTTGCTTGCTTGTGTATATGTGATAATATGATTGGAAATTCATTATGATTAGTGAGGAAACCTTATAAGCAATACTAATTAAATGTATTAGAAAGATAATTAGGGTATGATGACTGACTTAGATGACAATGCGTGTATACAATGATACCCAGGTGTGTGTCATGGACAAATAGTTATTTAACTTGGAATTTTAGGAATTCTATGGAACATGTGTTGTTATTATGAATGTTATGGTGAATGTGATCTCCTTGTGATTGTCAAATACAATCACTTAGTATTTTATCTAATCACGTAGTCGAAAACAACTCCTTGATTATGCCATCCCAAGCTGTGATTTTTATATAGAGTAAGAATTGGAATGTACGCACCAATACCTTAATGACATGGGTTTGAATCCTAAAGGCAGTGGATCCCAGAATTGGGTGAGTCCCATACGGGTAAAAGGCTTGATATGGATTTGGAATCCCATAGGAAGTGACAATTCTTGAGGTGGATGTTATCCTTTAGAATTCAAAATCCATGCATATGTCAAAGTATGAGATAAGGATATGTGACCTGTGTTGATAACCCTAGACGCAAGGCTTGTCGAGGAAAGATACCTTGATTTAGTTTCTGATTAGTGGTTATTTGAGTTGACAAACTCAAGCGACATGTTTTCATACATTTGCAAGTTTTGTGAACTCAAGTCTATTTCCCCTTTGTGACTTGATTTAGGATATTTATTAGAACCTTGTAGAGCCGAGTGGGCCCATAAGATAGGGAATCCATTGGGATTATTATCTCATCCCATGTTTGTTGATTATTTTCAGGGAGTTCTGAGTAGGTGAAGGGTAATAACAAGATAGCCTGATGTCTTTACTTATTTGTTGTTTTGGATGACAGTTTCAGTTGTGTAGATATCTCTTTTGAGACCATTCTATAATGATATAGTTCCTAATTTTATTTTAGGTACCCTTGTATATATTGTGCCAGAGTTATAGTCCTTTTTGGACATGTAATATGTACAATATTTCCACTATGCACTTATGTATTTCAGTACCAACATTACAACTGTGTATAATATGTATTTTTAGACATGTATTATATATGGGTGTTACAATATACATGATATATAAACTTATAGTAAGATGGAAAAAATTGATTAATCATGTAATTTTGTTGGTACATGAATTTAAAACCATAGACACCACATCAAGACTAATTCGACATGAACATAAACACCATATGAAAGGACACACTAAAAAAAGCCTAAAGAATGCATACAATAAATTCAACAATATGAAATTGTTAACTTGACTATGAAGTATGTAATTAAACACTACAAATTAAGCACACATATTAACCATCTACAAGATCCAATTCGAGTTTAACTCCATTAAGAGGAAGCACTGAAGGAGAACTTTGATTTTGATCATCATTATTGACAGTAGAAGCAAGAGGTGGTTGATCAATAGATGAAACAACATGAACAAAAGTAGTTTGTCCATTATCAATCTTGCAAATCTGGAGACTTGGTTTCTTCCTGGCCCTAAACATGTATCTCTTTCTTCTCTCCTCTGCACTATCAAACTTGTAGTGATTCGACGTCACATGAGAAGCAAATTTTTGCGAAGTAGCCAACACTTGGTAGCACTTTGGACATGTGTATGGTCCATATTTCTTATGTGGTAGGCTATGGATTCTACCATCATTAAGATTCTTCTTCTTGAAATGAACCCCAACATAATCATCACCATCAGCAAAAGCAACAACTGCCTGATCCAATGATGGCTCATGTGATTGTGATGATCTTGCGACAAGGAGATTAGGACGATAAACATCGTTATAAATATTCATCATCATGTTGTTATTGTAAATGTTAATGACATCCTCATTATTATGAACCGATGATGATGACGATGCATTCGAATGTGAAAATTGAGCTTCAAGAATTTTCATTGCTTTTCGGATTCCAGGAGCATGACTACCATATACCCATTCGATATGATCAGTGTTCATGTTGGATTCAAGAGGAAGAGGATGAGGAAATGATGGTTGTGTGTTTTTTAAATCCATGAATGAAATTAATGACATAAAAGTGAAATCAAACACAAAATGAAAGTCTATTAATCACATGGGACGTCAGTTTGATCAGTTTGATGGGACAACGATTTCTACCTTCTGATATGCGATCCCTTAATTTATAGCACTCTACTAGTCATTCATATATATCATTAATTTATTCTCAAAAGCATATTTATATAGTATAAGAAAAAAAATCACTTTTTAGATTCATTAAAGAATCAATGTATATGACCTCTATGCAGTTCAAATACATTCATTCTTCAATAAATCTAAAAAACAATATATTTTTTTTTATTTTAAGAATGAGAGGAATTAATAAGATAAGTATATGTAACTTACTTTAATAATTTAATTTAATACTATTTTATTAAAATAATACATTGTATACAACATCATGATGACTACTCTCTTCGTGATAATGACGTTTTGGTCTTATCACATCCCTATACCTTTAAAAATAGTAATAGATTTTTTTTGGTAACAAAAATAATATATTTTATATTATAATAAAAAAAATATGTAATTTTACAAAATCATTTTTTAATAATATAAAAATAGAAAATTAAATGATTAATAATAATAATACTAATAGTAATAATAAATAATAAATGATAAAATACTATAACTTTTTAAGTATAGACTACAACGAAATAAATAAATATTTTATTATTATCTTTAATTGTATTAGCAATTCCTTTATATTAATTTAATTTTAAATTTTTATTCGTTAATTGTTGACTGACGTTTTCAAAGTAAATGACCATTTATAAGAAAAAAGTAAATTATTAATATGTTGCAAAAGATAAAGTTCATAATAATTGTTTAAAAAGTTTCAACTTTTCTTTGACTGAAAACTAAAAACTTTTAATATATAATTTTAAAGATTTTAATAATGCACAAATTATGTTATAAAACCTGTCAACAATTATTTTTATGTTATGAATGTATTTTAATTAAGCACATTTTAGTGATTTGTACTTGAGTAGGAATTTTGCTTATACTCTTATTTTTTTATTATATATAAGGATCGATGTGCATTGATTTTAGAAGTAACTCATAAATGAGTTTTTTCTTTAATAATTTATTATGAACAATAAATTGGACAAATTAAATTGTTGGTTGTTGTCATAATTCTTTTTGTCGAGTAGTTTAATGGTAAAAATTGTTAAATATAATATAATTTATTTTAAGTTAGTTTGTATTTCATTTGAATTTGTATTTGTATTGCGTTTGAGTTTTATTTTGGTCATTGTATAAAATTCAAATGTCTGTTTCATTTGAAATAGATTTTGTAATTTAAAGTTAGTTATAATTTCTCTCTCTCAGCAATTCTTCTTCATCTTCTATAATTCTTGTGCATCAGTGGAGGTTCATTGTTGAACTTCAACAATTGGTATTGGAGCTCCAGTTCTGATCCACATGAAAACACTAGCTTAGAGAGACGTGTGATTGATTTCGTTCATGAAATTTACGTTAAATTCAAGTTCAAAATCAAAGATAATCATAGATCTTGATTCTCAGGGTTTGGGAAGCACAAGTGTTGGTAAGAACTGAGTGATTTGCACAAGAACGAAGATGAAAGGTGGAAACAGTAGCATGAACACCAAGCTTCCAAGATTCAACGGAAAGAATTGGAATCAGTGGTCAACTCAAACGCGTGTGTTGTTTAGAGCTTAAGATGTTCATAATCTCGTCAATGACAGTTACACGCTAGTTAGAGAAAATGCAGCAGAAGCGCAAAGAATTGTGTAGCGTGAAACGAGGAAGAAGAATCATAAGGCATTGTTCAATATCCATCAATGTGTGGATACAAAGGTGTTTGAGAAAATTGATTATTCAACGATGACAAAAGCATTGTGAGATACACTGGTGCGGTGATATGATGGTGACACATTAGTGAAGAAGGTAAAATTGCAGTCCATAAGCAAGCAATATGAGAATCCCAACATGAAGAACTGTAACACCCTTCTTCCCGACAATTAATTAATTGATTAATTAGAATGCTACTCAGATATCAACAATAGATACATGAACCACATAATTGAAAATTGAATCATTTGGTAAGCAACAAAAATTATAAAATAGTGACATATATGCCTCAACAATAATAAGTTTGAAAAGTGGTTCAATATTCAAATAAAGAAAAGATATGCAACATAAGAAAACAATCAAAAGAACAACTCGTTCCCCTTGTGTTACATATTAGAGTGACTCAACTACATACTCGATCAACAGATAACCAAAGAGGCACAATGTCATCGTCAACATGAAACTCCTACTCAGGTACATTATAGTTTGTAGTCTAGAGGAGGACATACGCAACAACACAAAAAACACGGTTGTTGCATCGCAAAAAAAATGACCTGCAAGCGCATCGCACGCTCGCGGATGATTGAACAAATTTCAGATTTTGCATTTAAAGACAGATCAGTTACGTTTCATTCTCTCTCTTTACAATTGTTCATTCTTTTTAATCATTCTTCTGCATTTTTAATGGATATTCATTGTTGAACTCCAACAGTGCAAGAATAAGGGATACAAATTTTGTTGAAAAACTTGACTCACCAATGGAAAGCGATATTTTACGAGTAACGCAGGGATAAAGTTGATGATGATTGTTTAAAAAAATATTGAGTATTGAACTTGTTGAGTCGTAGTGTTATTTATTATTAAGATTTTGATTTATTATTTTTTTGGTTTAATTATGTAGAATATTAGGCCCTTAGGTGGATATATATTTGTTGGTTAGTTAGGTTATAAATAGATTGGTCTAGTTACTACTGTAAAGTAGATTGAAAAATAAAAAAAAAAATTCTCCTCGGTTTTATCATGGAAATTTATAGCTTCCTATGTGCAGTCTCGACATGGTACCAGAAGAAATTACTCTAATTTTCTAGATTTTTTCCACCTATCTTGTTCCTCATTGGAACACCAATTCCACTATCTCTCTCATCTTGCACGTGTCTTTCTGCAAGATTTTTCTCCAGACCTGTATCCATCATATTAGTTATTGATCATTCCACATGTCTTCACCTTATTCATCATTCTGAATTGCTCCTTTCCTCTTCAATATCTTTTACCCTAATTTCTATTACACTTTTCATTTTCTCTAAAAAATTCTCTCTCTTCAACACCGTCTCTCTCTCTCTCTCTCTCTCTCTCTCTCTCTCTCTCTCTCTCTCTCTCTCTTCTCTCTCTCTCTCTCTCTCTCTCTCTCTCTCTCTTTCTCTCTCTCTCTCTCTCTCTCTCTCCACCTTACCACTTCTCTCACCTTCACCACCATTTCCACCACTCCTTCTTCCATTTCCCCCAAAAACAACACCCATTTTCTCAAGAAACCACCAATTTTCTTCCCAAATTCTCATCACCATTCAAGATTTCTTCCAAAAAAACATAAGAACTTCTTCATCAATCATCATCACCCTTCACCAATTTTCACATAAATATTCATATTTATTCACCATTCTTAACGATTTGAATCACTTATCTTCACCACTGTTCGATCTGTTTCTAGAAAACCTAGACTCTCTTCGACTATCATCCCTGGTCTTCAACATTTTTCAAGAACCCTTCATCACACATTCAACCTTATTCATTGATCTTTTTCAACTTTCTGGAAATTCATCACCATACCTTCACAAACCCTTTGTCAATTTTCCTCTAATTGTTTTTTCTCTTTACAAACCCTAGATAACATTCCTTATTCTATTTCTTCCAATATCTTTCTCCTTCTTTAATCATGGCTGACGATCCAACCCGCAACAAAACGCCTTCACTAACTCCCTCTCCAAAACCCAAAAATAACTCTAATGATCAACAAAATACTTATTGAAATTCTAGGTACCCAACAGTGGATGTTATCACGGATGTTATGACATCCACTATAACACAGACTACAAGACTTAATGACAAACTGTAAATGAAAACAAAAAATAACACAAGTAATTATTTACCCAGTTCAGTATAAACCACACCTACATCTAGGGGCTACCAAGCCAGGGAGGAAATTCACTATTAGTAGAATTAATTCAGAGTCAAACAACCATTTTGCACTCTTCACTTAAGACCTACCCAATGACACTTCAGCCTAACACTAGACCAAAGTTACCAACTCACTCCCCCTCAATCACAACAGTGATATCAACCAATTCAAAGTTACAGATAAACTTGAAGACACATTTCAAACACGCCTTGATCTTGCTTCACAACTTTGATCAAGTGACATAACACTCTTGCTTAAAAGCTTATAGTGACACACTTAACAGACAACTTAAGAACTCTAGACTAATGCAATCATACAGCAGATAATTGCTTGGTTTACAAGTACTCCTAAGACACGCAAATTCACGTGAAGAACATAATTCTTCACTCACAAAATACATGTTCTCTAAAACCTTGTCAAGAACTGTCTTCAAATAGGATTGTTACTTCTGTATATATAGGCAACATACAGTCTTTGGGCCTTAGTGAAGAAATTAGGTTTACCCACGATAAACCTCTCTTCATGAAACTACGCACGTCCAATTTGGTTAGGGGCCTTCCATGTTATCCCCAGCAATGCCTGATATGTCGCCTGAGATAACTAGGCTTCCTAAAATGTTTCCTGAAGTATAACCTGAGCTAATACCAGAAACTAAAACCTGCGCGCCCTGATGTCATACACTTGATGTCATAACATTCAGCATGACATCCAACATACTTGACTCTTAGCTATTCAATCTTACCCTGCTGAATACTCATTATGTATGTCATAACATCAGTCATGACATTCATACATCCATCAATGTTTTGCCACAAAATGCAGCCAATCAAAAGCATCTACACTTATCAAGCTTTCAATATGACATGCTCAACCATTTCTTTATGTGTTTAAGTGACAACCCTAGTCTTGCACTAGTCACCCCTTATTTATCCAATTTGAAATATCATTCATGATCATGCTCTATAAAAATGGCCATTCTTTCCAAAAACAAGTTAGGGTTCATTGATGG